AATAATAATAATAATAATAATAATAATAATAATAATAATAATAATAACAATTCTTGCTGCTTCAAGAAGATTGCACAGACTGACTATAAACAATGGCATGACAAAGTAGCAATAATGGTGCATTGGAGTATCTGCAAGAAATATTATTTGCTTGCAAACAAGAACTGGTGGGACTACAAAATAAAAAGTAATAGAAAAGGAAAAGTTAAAGGGTCTGGGCCTCTAGAATTCAAACAGACAAGCAGCTGCCATATAACATTTCAGACTTAATAAATTGTTGATAAGAAAGATAAAAAAGGTCTGGATAGCAGGTGTGGCAGTACCTGAATACAGTGAAATAGAAGAGAAAGACCTGGAGAAAATAGCAAAATAAAAATATCTGCAAATTGAAGTAGAACAACCATTGCAAAAGAAAGCAAAGACAGTAACAATAATAAGAGGGGCCTTAGGTTCAATCCCAAAACTTTTGGAGTACCATTTGAATACCACCAACATTGATAAAATCATAATCACTCAATTGCAAAAGACAGCCTTATTTGGAATGCCTTGCATCCTACAACAATAGATGTCCATGCTGGAAGTAAATAACTTTTACTTTTTAACAATAAGTTACTCAGATAACAGATAACAGATAATCAGAGTTGGAAGGGACCTAGTATATCATCTGGTGCAACCCCCCGCCCAAGCAGGAGACCCTACGCCATTTCTGACAAATGGCAGTCCAATTTCTTCTTGAAAGTCTCACTCATACTGGATTTACTTCCAGCATGGATATTATAAATGCTTTTATGTGTATGCCTTTAAAACATGCAAGTGAGGTTGCAACTGACTAAAAGGAGCAAATGACTTCTAGCATGACTTCTAGCTATACTAAGGGCACCAATATATTAAAGTAATATCAAATACACACGTTTCCATATATATACATTCAAACACATATATTTGAAAGAGAATGGGGGCAATAACTCTCTTAAAAGGCAGGTCACTGTCCAATATTGTACTATAATGTAGATGTAAAGAACTTCACCAGGCCTAGAATTAATGAACTGCACATGGGAGAAATTAAGGCTGTCTTATGACATAAATATATATTTTCTGTTTTCTATTACATTATATCCATCTTATTTGGAGGCAGCAGAGCTGAATTTAAAAGCTTCATTTTGCTACATATCTTAGGAGTTCCTGATTATGTAGTGAGTTCTATTTTGTCTATAATTAATCCAATTTTGCTTCAAAGCTATTGGCCCATAGGTCACCAGCACTGCATTGCAACCAGAAGCTGTAATTATTACAATTAATTACCAGATTATATCAGATAATCTTTGGCATGCCTGAATTGTCAATTTTGTGGAGACATCAGATTGACCATTGCTGGGGAGGGGGTGGGGAGTTTGTGAAAGACAGATATTTAGGTTGATGCTGAGCAAAATGCTGGTTTTATTTAATTTTATACTCATTTTCGTACAAAGGGTGCAGAACAAAGTAAAAGCATAAAAACAATGGACCAATACCAATCAATGTGTTCCAGGATGAAACCTTTAAAGAAATTTGATCAGCTGTACTTTGTTTCCTGTTCAGTGATCAAGTAATTTTGGGAAATGAATTGCAGCAGCCTGATGTTCTTCAGTACACAGAGAGGCAGGGTATGATGGATTCTTTGTCTTTTGGCTTAGTAAGAAAAATCTTTTCTGGCCAACATAGAAGTGAAGAAGAGGAGGTCATGTTTTTTAAAAAGAAGATACAGATCACTGAGAATAAAACAACAAAAAGAATAGTTCCCTACCCATTACTTCCCACTGTGTGAACTTTTGACATATCCGCAAATTCTTCCTTTCGATTGCTGCCACTGTTGTACTGCTCACTGTATAGTTTTAAGGACATCTGCTCAACAGCATCTCTTTGTGCTTCCAGAAAGCATAGCTGAACCTCTGCCTAGAAAAAGGAAACAAGAAGGAATGAAGTCTTGTTTTAATTCATAACAAATGCTTATATAAAGTTGCCATTTTTAGACTAAACGAATAACACAGCCAGAATTCATTTACAATTTTACTAAGCATTACCGTAATAATTATTGTATTGATTTTTAATGACGCTGCTGTCTTTATAGAAGTATTGGAGTAGGGGGAGATTATGAACCATGCCTCTTCCCATTAGTCTTTTAGAGGAATTTTTCTTTCTTGATTACCTGTCTTAGCAATGTTCATTTACTGCAAATCAATGTTTTTCCTAGGACCAATGATATTATCAAGCAACTCTGCTACACAAATCATGGGGAAAAGAGAAATAATTTCAACTTCTGAAGAGATTTACAAAACAGCAAGCATTATCTCAAAATATTTTGCTGTACACTTTGTCCATGCAGCAAGTTAAGAACACACAGCTATTTGGTCATATTGCAGTTTTGTCCTTTCTGTGTCAGTTCTAACAAGAAACAAATTAGGGCCTTCTTGTTAACAAAAAGCACCTTCCACTCGAACTCAGCAATCTCATATGTATTTGTGCCCACTCAGTGATTGCTGAGCCAGTTCTCTCAGCCTTTGTCTAAATTCATGTGCTGGGATCCACAGCTTTCCTTCATGTGGAAGTTTTGATGCCAACTGAATATATAATGTGTATAGTTTGGATTTGGCTTAGCACTGGTGAGTGAATCCAACTTTTGTGATTTATTGATCATAGTATATTCTTCAACAGGATTTTTCAACTGATGTCAGAAGGAATTGTCTAGAGACTTGTGAAACAATCCTCTCAGCTGAAGTGAACATGGAAGTTCAGTGAAAACTATCTCTGAATATATTTTATTATTTGTATCCCACCTTTATTATTTTTATAAATAACTCAAGGTGGCAAACATATCCAACACACTTCCTCCTCCTATTTTCCCCACAAAAACAATACGGTGAGGTGGATTGTGCTGACAAAGAGTGACTGGCTCAAAGTCATCCAGCAGGCTTTCACTGCTTAGGTGAGATTTGAACACACAGCTTCCCACTTTCTAGCTTGGTACTTTAACCAGTAGACTACTCTCTCTCCCCCCCCCGTCCCCCTCCCTCTCCTCCCTCCCTCCCTCCCCCCTCTCTCCACCCACCCACCCACCCACAGATGGACAATAATTCTATGAAAGCTATTTGTTGATATTATATTATAATATCTTATATTATTTTGTTATTGACTATCAACTTGGAAACACATGTTTGTGTGCCTATGTGAAAATCTCTTCCTAACCTTAATGGCTTCTTCTTCTGTTATTTCCACTACAGTTCTGTAAATGCCAGCACATGGATTATAGAATTATTTGTGTTGAATTTCCAAGATTTATTCATTTATCCACGGGATCATGTTCTACTTAGTAGCTTCATATGCCAATCTTGCATCTCTGTTGTTTGTTTTATTAATAAGGTAAATACAACAGCAGAGAGGTCTCATTGGACCAATCAGCTTTCTAAAGACTTCCCAGTAACCTCAACTTTAAACAAAATGAAATACATTTATCCAGGTGTTTTCTTTTAGACCATTTCCTGATCAAACTAATATAGAATTCTCTTTGACTTTAGAATGTCGCTACATTATGTATTGCAGCTGTGCTGATGCGTTGGATTCTGGAGCTCAGCACAGGAGAGGATATGGAGATACATTTGGCTGTTTGCCGGGTAGCTGGAAAAGTACAGAGGCAAGGTTGAGTTCAAGAGCACTTGGGGGCCAATATGGCATTGTTTTCATACAACATGCTCCACTAAAATCCTAACGTGCTGATTATAATTACAATGAGCTTCATAAAGAAGCATCAATTTTCAACTTAATTTGGTCTTCCCACATAAAGTATCTATTTCCTAAGAAGGAAGAATTCTATATATAGTTTATAAATTTTACATAATTGGATGTCTCACTTGCTGCAAAAAACATTAGAGGGGGAAGGATTTCTGTAGATGATATTATTATTATTATTATTATTATTATTATTATTATTATTATTAATCCTCCAGATGTTCAGACTGGGTTTGGCATTTTTGTCTACCTATCCAAGGACCTGGGATAGGCAGATGTTTGATGGTGTTGCATATATCATCGTGGGATGAAAGCTGTTTGTTTTTAATCACTGCATATTTGCGATCAATCACAACCTTTTCTTCTAGGAGTTCTTCAACTGCTAGCCCTGGTTGCTCAGCTAACAGTCCTGAGTCCTGTAGCCCACTGTTCATCAGATATACAGGAACTCCAATATCTGGCGTGGACCTTGTTAACCCGAGCCAGAATGTCCAAGCCGGTATGGCTTTCTGAAGTTTATGTCTCTCCATATTTTTAATGAGAGAGAGAGAGAATCCCTTTGTCTGACTCCTCTGAGGAGACCTGTCCAGAACCTCTGGCATAGCTCTCATCTTCCCCAGAGCACATAACCCCACAAGCACGTTAAGGTAGTGCTTCAATGGGGTTTAGTTTTAGTATAGTTTACTTTATTATCATTGCACCTCATACAATGAAATCAAACACCATCTTCAGTGCACATCATGACCATGAAAATAAACACAAACACACATTCTTCACACTCTACACATTGAACTGAACCCCCCCCGACACCGCACCAACACTGCAATATACAGTAGTATAGAGTTGTTGTTGCTGTTGTTGCTTTTATTATTATTATTATTATTATTATTATTATTATTATTATTATTATTATTATTATTATT